AGCGGCAGAAGCTCGTACTACATCCGGTTCGCCCTCTGTTGACACAGTCTTGAAACTTTCTGATCGCACCTCGTAATTGTTTTCGTCACCTCTCAATGTTTCGGCGACCGGATTCTGTGACGTATCTGAGGCCATGGATGCCGGTGTTAAAGAAGAATTCCTGGCAGACTGATACGAAGGCAGCGTTGAAAGAACTACGATCTGACATGCTGAGCTGGACACTGCACAGCTGCTGACAAGATGTCGACTGTGTGTATCGATTACACTCGCCCGCAACGCATGAAAACAGGGGAAATCCTGTTCGTACTCGTTTCATTGTAAGGTACTTGTGACAGGCTGACAAATCGATTGACAGATTGGTTAGACACATTTACGGATAGATGGCAAGAGAGATAAATAAATGCGGACGGATGTATCGTCGATGCATCGATAAATGGAAGGCTTGATGGACAAACACACGAACGATCAGATAAACAGAAAGGTTTATCATTTACTTACGAGTTTCCTCTTCAGATTACAAGGTTAGTCTGTGTGTCGTATTTGCGTAGCAGTTGGTTCTGAGACAATGATTGCTTCAGACATGTTGGACAGGATTCTACCTCTCCCAAGACTGCTGTCAGTACAAAATAACGAAACGCGGATAAGCATCTATGTCTTGCCACTGCTCTCCCAGAACTCCATGTTCTTATGTAGAATGGAAAAGAATGGGATAGAAATAACAAAATAAAATAGAACAAAATTGAATACGAATACACATGGAGAGAATTCATTTAGATTACATAAATCCTTCATAGCACAAGCCAATGACGTCATAATCAAAACACAGTATTTAGAATTAATTAGTGTTCTGTCTGACGACAGGTCCATATGAACAGGATCCTTCCATCCTTTTCTCGGACTGGGACCTGTTCATATACGTTCTTGGCAGATGATCCAGAAGTGGTTTGCCATTGCCTTCTTCTGTGTGTGAATGGAGTAATTGTTGGGATGCCACGGAGGAAAACTCCGTGTTGCCTAGACCACGGCCATGCCCAACACAAGTTATAAATTCGGGCACCGCCGGGAATCGAACCCGAGACTCCAGGATTACAAGGCCAGCGTTCTAACCGCTAGACCACCGTGGCGGTATTTAGAATACAAACAATAATTAATACCAGTGTTCACACGCCAATCGTCACTGACAATCACCACCAAAATCAGACGTTTTCCCGAAACGTCTTTATGACTAGGGTGTGGCCACTCTCGGCAAATCTCAGTTTGTTCGAGGAATTATCCTGCCAGTGATTTATACTGGGAGTGCATTCTGAATGGTGTGTACTGGATACGAAAGAAAAACATCATATTGTACACGAAACCACGGACAGCTTACTTTTTGTAGTCCCCACCCCCAGACCAGGCCAGGTTGTCTCCAGAATAGGGGTTAGAAGAAAGACACTTTGCCCTTGCCAGGGGTCGAATCCTACTCATACCATCCGGTTCATAATCAGACACTACTGGGCTTCTATAACTCCTCACCCTAAGCATGGCTTTTTCACGTACATATCAAGGATTTGAATATTACACAGGCAACAAGGAACTGATCCATCATTATTATTATTATTATTTATTTGACTGCAAATGGGTTTTTACCCGGTGGCAGTGGTCCTACAATAAGACACAACAAAACATAAGACAACAAAAACAATAAGAAACAACAGAACAATGAGACAGAACAAAACAATAAGACACAAAAATCATAAGACAACAAAAACAATAAGAAACAACAGAACAATGAGACAGAACAAAACAATAACACAAAAAA